AAAATGAAAAATTTGGTTAAAATTTATTTCTATGGAAAAAATTGATTATTTCGAAAACTATTAGGTTTTAAAAAAATTTACAAGAGGACAAAATTGTTCAAAATACTTTTCACCATCGAAACATAAATTTTCCAATAAAATCGGAAAAGTCGCAAGGAAAATAGAACTTTTTATAACCTTAATTTTGAATTTTTTCGTAAACGGTAGGACTTACGAAAAATTTTATAATTATATAATTTGTAGAGAATATCGTTCTCCATCGAAGAGCAATTTACAAATTTTCCTACGACAACTAATTCCTGGTGATATTACAAAATAAAAAAATTGGTTAAAATTTATTTCTATGGAAAAAATTGATTATTTCGAAAACTATTAGGTTTTAAAAAAATTTACAAGAGGACAAAATTGTTCAAAATACTTTTCACCATCGAAACATAGATTTTCCAATAAAATCGGAAAAGCTGCAAGAAAAATAGAACTTTTAATAACCTTAATTTTGAATTTTTTCGTAAACGGTAGGACTTACGAAAAATTTTATAATTATATAATTTGTAGAGAATATCGTTCTCCATTGAATAGCAATTTAGAAATTTTCCTACAACTAATTCCTGGTGATATTACAAAACGAAAAATTTGGTGAAAATTTATTTTTATGGAAAAAATTGATTATTTCGAAAACTATTAGGTTTTGGAAAAATTTACAAGAGGGCAAAATTGTTCAAAATACTTTTCACCATCGTACGATAGATTTTCCAATAAAATCAGAAAAGCCGCAAGGAGAACAGCACTTTTATTAACCTTAATTTTGAATTTGTTCGTAAACGGTGGGACTTACGAAAAATTTTATAATTATGTAATTTGTAGAGAATATCGTTCTCCATCGAATAGCAATTTACAAATTTTCCTACGACAACTAATTCCTGGTGATATTACAAAATAAAAAATTTGGTTAAAATTTATTTGTATGGAAAAAATTGATTATTTCGAGAACTATTAGATTTTGGAAAAATTTACAAGAGGGCAAAATTTATCAAAATACTTTTCACCATCGAACGATAGAATTTCCAATAAAATCGGAAAAGTCGCAAGGAAAATAGAACTTTTAATAACCTTAATTTTGAATTTTTTCGTAAACGGTAGGACTTACGAAAAATTTTATAATTATGTAATTTGTAGAGAATATCGTTCTCCATCGAATAGCAATTTACGAATTTTCCTAATTCCTAGTTCCTAACGACAACTAATTCCTGGTGATATTACAAAATGAAAAATTTGGTGAAAATTTATTTGTATGGAAAAAATTGATTAATTCGAAAACTATTAGGTTTTGAAAAAATTTACAAGAGGGCACAATTGTTCAAAATACTTTTCACCATCGAACGATAGATTTTCCAGTAAAATCGGTGAAGCCGCAAGGAAAATAGCACTTTTAATAACCTTAATTTTGAATTTTTTCGTAAACGGTAGGACTTACGAAAAATTTTATAATTATGTAATTTGTAGAGAATATCGTTCTCCATCGAATAGCAATTTACGAATTTTCCTAATTCCTAGTTCCTAACGACAACTAATTCCTGGTGATATTACAAAATAAAAAATTTGGTGAAAATTTATTTGTATGGAAAAAATTGATTATTTCGAAAACTATTAGGTTTTGGAAAAATTTACAAGAACGCAAAATTGTTCAAAATACTTTTCTCCATCGAACGATAGATTTTCCAATAAAATCGGAAAAGCCGCAAGGAAAATAGAACTTTTTATAACCTAAATTTTGAATTTTTTCGTAAACGGTAGGACTTACGAAAAATTTTATAATTATATAATTTGTAGAGAATATCGTTCTCCATCGAATAGCAATTTACAAATTTTCCTACGACAACTAATTCCTGGTGATATTACAAAATGAAAAATTTGGTTAAAATTTATTTCTATGGAAAAAATTGATTATTTCGAAAACTATTAGGTTTTAAAAAAATTTACAAGAGGACAAAATTGTTCAAAATACTTTTCACCATCGAAACATAGATTTTCCAATAAAATCGGAAAAGCCGCAAGAAAAATAGAACTTTTAATAACCTTAATTTTGAATTTTTTCGTAAACGGTAGGACTTACGAAAAATTTTATAATTATATAATTTGTAGAGAA